GACAGGAGACCAGGAGAGCTACAGGAGTACCAGGGGGAGACAGGTGATGAGACCAGGGAGACAGGGAGAACAGGGAGAGACAGGGAGAGACTGGGAGACAGAGAGACACTGGGAGAGACAGTGTACGTATGACACGTGAACCATGGTGTAGCTCATACAGTATGTACACCGAGTTACACATTTGTACACGTGAGCACCGTTGAACTGGAGCTACACGTTGTACACACCTGGTGTAGTGGGTACACGTTTCACCACTGGTGTAGCGCTACACGTTGTCACCACGGTGTAGGCTAACACGTGATCACCACCGGTGTAGGCTACACGTTGTCACCACTGGTGTAGATGAAAACGTTGTCACCACTGGTGAGTGCTACACGTTGTCACCACTGTGTAGTGCTACACGTTGTCACCACCTGGTGTAAGCTGCTACACGTTGTCACCACCTGGGAATGTAGCTACACGTTGTCACCACCTGGTGTAAATCTCAGGTTGTCACCACCCGGTGTAGTGCTACAACGGTTGTCACCACCTGGTGTAAGTGATACACGTTGTCACACATTGTGTAGTGTAAAACGTTGATCACCACCTGGTGAGTGCAACAGTTTCACACTGGTGTAGGCGCTACACGTTGTCACCACCTGGTGTAGTGCTACACGTTGTCACCACCTGGTGTAGCGGTACACGTTGGTACCACCTGGTGTAGGCAACACGTTGTCACAACCTGGTGTAGTGCTACACGTTGTCACCACCTGGTGTACTGCTAACACGTTGTCACACCTGGTGTAGTGCTACACGTTGTCACCACCTAGTGATCAGGCTACACGTTGTCACCACCATGGTGTAGTGCTACACGTTGTCACCACCTGGTGTAGTGCTACACGTTGCACCACCTGGTGTAGATGCTACACGTGTCACCACCTGGTGTAGTGCTACACGTTGTCACCACCTGGTGTAGTGCTACAGTGTCACCACCTGGATGACATGCTACACGTTGTCACCACCTGGGTATAGTGCAACAGTGTCACACCTGTGTAGGCAATTGTTGTATCACAGGTGTAGTGCTACACGTTGTCACAACTGGTGTAATGCTACACGTTGTCACACATGGTGTAGTGCTACACGTTGTACAACGTGTACGTGCATACAACCCTTTGTCACCACCTGTGTAGTGCTACACGTTGTCACCACCTGGTGTAGTGCTACACGTTGTCACCACCTGGTGTAGTGCTACACGTTCTCACCACCTGGTGTAGCGCTACACGTTGTCACCACCTGGTGTAGTGCTACACGTTGTCACCACCTGGTGTGTCAGTGTCTACACTGTATGTACACCCACCTGGTGTAGTGCTACACGTTTCACCACCTGGTGTAGTGCTACAGTTGTCACCACCTGGTGTAGTGCTACACGTTGTCACCACCTGGTGTAGTGCTACACGTTGTCACCACCTGGTGTAGTGCTACACGTTGTCACCACCTGGTGTAGTGCTACACGTTGTCACCACCTGGTGTAGTGCTACAGTTGTCACCACCTGGTGTAGTGCTACACGTTGTCACCACCTGGTGTAGTGCTACACGTTGTCACCACCTGGTGTAGCGCTACACGTTGTCACCACCTGTGTAGTGCTACACGTTTGTTCACAGCAACCTGGTGTAGTGCTACACGTTGTCACCACCTGGTGTAGTGCTACACGTTGTCATCACCTGGTGTAGTGCTACACGTTGTCACCACCTGGTGTAGTGCTACACGTTGTCACCACCTTGTGTAGTGCTACACGTTGTCACCACCTGGTGTAGTGCTACACGTTGTCACCACCTGGTGTAGTGCTACACGTTGTCACCACCTGGTGTAGTGCTACACGTTGTCACCACCTGGTGTAGTGCTACACGTTGTCACCACCTGGTGTAAATGCTACACGTTGTCACCACCTGGTTAGTGCTACACGTTGTCACCACCTGTGTAGTGCTACACGTTGTCACCACCTGGTGAGTGCTACACGTTGTCACTACCTGGTGTAGTGCTACACGTTGTCACCACTGTGTAGTGCTACACGTTGTCACCACCTGTGTATGTACACATGCACGCCTGTTGTCACCACCTGGTGTAGTGCTACACGTTGTCACCACCTGGTATAGTGCTACACGTTGTCACCACCTGGTGTAGTGCTACACGTTGTCACCACCTGGTGTAGTGTTACACGTTGTCACCACCTGGTGTAGTGCTACACGTTGTCACCACCTGGTTGTAGTGCTACACGTTGTCACCACCTGGTGTAGTGCTACACGTTGTCACCACCTGGTGTAGTGCTACACGTTGTCACCACCTGTTGTAGTGTTACACGTTGTCACCGCCTGGTGTAGTGCTACACGTTGTCACACCTGGTGTAGTGCTACACGTTTGTCACCACCTGGTGTAGTGCTACACGTGTCACCACCTGGTGTAGTGCTACACGTTGTCACCACCTGGTGTAGTGCTACACGTTGTCACCACCTGGTGTAGTGCTACACGTTGTCATCACCTGGTGTAGTGCTACACGTTGTCACCACCTGGTGCAGCGCTACACGTTGTCACCACCTGGTGTAGTGCTACACGTTGTCACCACCTGGTGTAGTGTTACACGTTGTCACCACCTGGAGTAGTGCTACACGTTGTCACCACCTGGTGTAGTGCTACACGTTGTCACCACCTGGTGTAGTGTTACACGTTGTCACCACCTGAGTAGTGCTACACTGTCACCACTGTGTGACCTCACCACCTGGTGTAGTGTACACGTTGTCACCACCTGGTGTAGTGCTACACGTTGTCACCACCTGGTGTAGTGCTACACGTTGTACAACCTGGTGTAGTGCTACACGTGTCACCACCTGGTGCAGTGCTACACGTTGTCATACCTGGTGTAGTGCTACACGTTGTCACCACCTGGTGCAGCGCTACACGTTGTCACCACCTGGTGTAGTTCTACACGTTGTCACCACCTGGTGTAGTGCTACACGTTGTCACCACCTGGTGTAGTGCTACACGTTGTCACCACCAAGTGTAGTGCTACACGTTGTCACCACCTGGTGTAGTGCTACACGTTGTCATCACCTGGTGTCGTGCCACACGTGGTCACCACCTATGTGATCTCCACACCACCTAGTGCTACACGTGGTCGCCACCTGTGTGGCCACACCACATGGTGTAGTACTACACTTGGTCACCACCTGGTGACGTGGTCACCACCTGGAGTAGTGCTACACATGATCACCACCTGTCTGACCACACCACCTGGTTTAGTGCTACACTTGGTCACCACCTGGTGTAGTGCTACACGTGGTCACCACCTAGAGTAGTGCTACACGTGGTCACCACCTGTGTGACCTCCACACTACCTGATGTACTGTTACACGTGGTCACCACCTGTGTGACCTCCACACTACCTGATGTACTGTTACACGTGGTCACCACCTGGTGTAGTGCTACACGTGGTCACCACCTGTGTGACCTCCACACTACCTGATGTACTGTTACACGTGGTCACCACCTGGAGTAGTGCTACACGTGGTCACCACCTGGAGTAGTGCTACACGTGGTCACCACCTGGAGTAGTGCTACACGTGGTACAGTGACAGCACACCTGAGTAGTTACAGAGAGTACTACACGTGGTCACCACCTGGAGTAGTGCTACACGTGGTCACCACCTGGTGTAGTGCTACACCAAGTGAAGTTTAGTATCATTACAATGCACATCACACCCATCCTGTGGGTGATAGTCAACAAGATTACAAAGGCACTTATATAATGGGTCCAGGGGCTGTACCTCAACATTACAGAGGTACATAATAGGTCCATGGACTGTACCTCAACATTACAGAGGTACATAATGGGTCCAGGGACTGTACCTCAACATTACAGCGGTACATAATGGATCCAGGGACTGTAACTCAACATTACAGAAGTACACAATGGGTCCAGGGACTATTCCTCAACATTACAGAGGTACATAATAGGTCCAGGGACAGCACATCAATATTACAGAAGTACATAATGGGTCCAAGGACTGTACCTCAACATTACAGAAGTACATAATGGGTCCAGGGACTGTACCTCAACATTACAGAAGTACATAATGGGTCCAGGGACTGTTCCTCAACATTACAGAGGTACATAATGGGTCCAGAGACTGTACATCAACATTACAGAAGTACATAATGGGTCCAGGGACTGTACCTCAACATTACAGAGGTACATAATGGGTCCAGGGACAGCACATCAATATTACAGAAGTACATAATGGGTCCAAGGACTGTACCTCAACATTACAGAAGTACATAATGGGTCCAGGGACTGTACCTCAACATTACAGAGGTACATAATGGGTCCAGGGACTGTACCTCAACATTACAGAGGTACATAATGGGTCTAGGGACTGTACCTCAACATTACAGAGGTACATAATGGGTCCAGGGACTGTGCCTCAACATTACAGAGGTACATAATGGGTCCAGGGACTGTACCTCAACATTACAGAGGTACATAATGGGTCCAGGGACTGTACCTCAACATTACAGAGGTACATAATGGGTCCAGGGACTGGGTCGCAAAGTTACAGTGGTAATGAACAAGTTACAATGGTCCTGAACAAGTTGCAGTCGTAATGAACAAGTTACAATGGTAAGGAACAAGTTACAGTGGTAATGAGCAAGTTACAGTGGTAATAAACAAGTTACAGTGGTAATGATCAAGTTACAGTGGTAATGAACAAGTTACAGTGGTAATGAACAAGTTACAGTGGTACTGAACAAGTTACAATGGTAATGAACAAGTTACAGTGGTAATGAACAAGTTACAGTGGTACTGAACAAGTTACAGTGGTAATGAACAAGTTACAGTGGTAATGAACAAGTTACAGTGGTAATGAACAAGTTACAGTGGCACTGAACAAGTTACAGTGGTAATGAACAAGTTACAGTGGCACTGAACAAGTTACAGTGGTAATGAACAAGTTACAGTGGCACTGAACAAGTTACAGTGGTAATGAACAAGTTACAGTGGTACTGAACAAGTTACAGTGGTACTGAACAAGTTACAGTGGTAATGAACAAGTTACAGTGGTAATGAACAAGTTACAGTGGTACTGAAGTACTTAACATATTTATATCTCGTCAGAATTGTAGTGAGTTATTTATGCAGACATGAATTAGGTCACACAGATAAAAATACTTTATATTTTTTCAAGGTATGCTTGAAAAAAATATGTGGTTATGCGTTATTTACAGTGGGCAAAGTCAGAGTATTTTTCCAAACTGGTTGATAATATACCACTGCGGATAAAATGCTTTGACATTTCTTGAACATTTCTGAGCGAGTTGTCTCTAAATTCATTAATTTTATCGCATTCCAGTAGATAATGACGCAAGGTGTGACAACAGTCCATCTGGCAAAGTTTATAGTTTGTTTGATCTACATCTGGTAGTGGTGATTTAACCTGCCAGATACTGGTAACGCAGCCGGAGCCGAACCGTAGTGACATCCAAGAATCTGAGGATTTTGTTGGATGCACCATAGACATGTGGCTCCTCCTGCATGATACAATGATCACTTGTGTGACCACACACTGTATACCTGATGTAGTGCTACGTTATACATAACGTGGAGCACTAAACCCGTATGGATCATACTGTATCAGGAGATGTGTTGGTTCGATTCATCGTAGGCTAATTACACTTATTTGACTCACCGTTCATCTCACTAAGGTGGTGGCTATGTTTTCTTCCTGGATTGATGCTACGGTCTTTAGTTATATATTGACTCACTGAGTAGCTAAGCAAACACTAGTGTACCCATGTCTTCTGACTCACCTTTAACTCATATGATGACCGTACAATAGCGCCAACTGCTGACATACTCATGCTGGATGTTCATACATATATATACATATACAGCCCATGGGAGCACTGCTTCAGTGACCCGAGCAGTGAGTAGTGTCTTCCAGTGCGTCACTACACAGGTGATGAAGAGTAGGAGAGGAGAGATAGAGGCGTCCTAAGATGGAAAGCGTACGTGGGAAGGGAGTTTACTGTGACTAGGAGAAAGATGGGTTGTTGTTGAAAGAGAAGAAATAAAGAGATAAAATTGGGATACCCCAAGAGAAAGCTGACAGAACAAAGAAAAAATTACGACTATGAGGCAAGGTACAAGTGCAAAAAATTAAATACCGAATGAGGAGGAGCAGGAAGGGACAAAGTAAAGGGAGACGCAGTGCAGTGAACGGTATCTCCTCACTGTCTCTGATGGTTCTGGGGACTGAGCACAGCTGAGGCCCGGACGAGAGGAGTGGCTAGAGGACCTTGGACTTGAAGCATCATGGGGGTGTGGTCAACAAATAAGATTGGCTCCCACACCGGTCTTCTGCGTGCCCTACACTATGACTGGAAGCTGACTGCTTTATCTGCTCAACCGTGTTTGCTTTCCAAAACTTGACAAAGTTCCCATACGCTGCTGTTTCTGGGACTGGCTTGCTGACCTTCACAATAAAGGGAGGATCATCGACCATGGCTTCCCAATGTACCGTAATATTCTGAGCCATCACGAACGCTATTAATGTCTTGTTTCACCATGAAGGTTGGGTGGTCTTGGATTTGGGAGGGGAGGGGGTGAGAGAGAGAGAGGAAGGGGGTAAAGCAAAAAAACAATATGGGTGAGTGGCGCAGCACAGTGTGCGCAGTGGCTGGTACGAGGTTACGAGTCCCGGAGCTGCCCTGAACACGGTTTACTAAAGCACAGCACCGCATCAGGGAAACATCATTTCATCCCTCGAGCTTGACCATGAAGCCTCCTGCAATTGTACGAGTCTACAGTACAACATACCCTCTACTAACTCGTCTTCCTTTTCAGGATATGCTCTATGATGCCTCTAAGTATATTTAACATTCATCTTTAGTATTGACATATTCATATACACACCAATTCACATAATCAGCGATTGAAGGCAACAACTTCCTTAAATATTTCTTGACGGTAGCAAATTAATTAAAATTTTGCGAAATACTGTGAATGAAATGAATTACTATCTAATTAAATGTTATTCTAATTATTTATTTATTCTAGTAAGTGATTTACATTATCAAGGAATGACGATTTACCCGGTGTTCCTGCGCATGTGCGTGTGTGCACTCTACCTCCCTTGCTAGACAACACACACTCTTGAGTGCGTACACTCAGGCGCGCGTGTGTGTATACGTACCTACGCCCGCACCATTACCTCATAGTGTATTAAACAGTTGACAGAGCGAAGTGAGGGACACGAGGCAACTCCTCAGTGAGGGAACTGATTCAGTGAAGGTACCTTCCAACTTGTGTTGCATTAGTAAGGATATCGTATACTGTTGCGATGGTGAAAGGGTCGTATACGGTGCTGCGACAATGAAGGGTATCACAGTGTTGCTACAGGGAGAAGATGATACATAGACAGTGTTACAATGGTGTCATACACAGTGTCGCTATAGAGAGCATATTGTACAGAGGCAGTGTTGCGGCGGTAAGAGTGTTTACACAGACAGTGGTGGTAATAAGAGTGTTTTACACTGACGGTGCTGCTAGCAAGGGCATCTTTCACAGTCAGTGTTGGTAATTATGATGCCTTACACAGACAGTGTTGCGACAGTGAGGGGACTGTACACAACGTTGGAACCGTGAGGGAGAGGGGATCACACAGAGTAGCGACGCTGAGAAGGTCGTACAGTGTAGCGACAGTGAAGGGGTCGTACTCAGTGTTGCGACAGTAAGGGAGGTCGCATACAGTGTTGCGACAGTTCATGAAGGTGCCGCTCTAAGTGTTGCGACAGTGAGGGGGGTCTCACACAGTGTTGCGACAGTGAGGGGAGGGGGTCGTAAGAAACTATAGCCTCAGAGTTCTGTGGAACTAAAGCAGCCTCCCACCCTCACTAATCGTGAATTATATATTCACTGCTAAGTGCTGCGAATTGTCAAGAAAATGTTTTTTCCATATCATAAGTGAATTTTTGTTGTGTTCTGGTGTTCACAGGAAGGTGCCATGTGTGTTTTAGTGATCATTACATCGCCGTTGTGTATATCTGGGAAGAAATGTTAACATCGTGTTCATAATGTGAAAGGTAGTTTTTTGTTGTAAGAATAATTATATATGAGCAAAACATGGCTTTAGGTATGGTTAAATATGTTTCATTTCTTTCGTCACAGAAACGCATTAAATCTGTGGGTTCTCCGGGAAGAAAAGAGGATGAGGTGAAAGTGGCGTGCCCTCTGGCCCCGCCGGCGGTGGCCTGGCCCCTCTGGCTCAAGCTTCGGGTTTTCTTCACCACCTTGGCTGTGGAACCCGTCATGCTCCTGGATGGCCTCGCCTACTCCGTTATGATCGTCTTCGTCGAGGATCTTCAGCTGGATAAAATCTGCCGCGTTAACCTCAACTTCACAGAAGAGGTGTGCACCAACTTAACGAAACATCCGCAGGAGAATATTAAAGTCCAGCAAGCGTTAAGTATATTTGGAATGTATAATGGCATCATCATGTCCTTCATCCCTTTCTTCTTCATTCTATTCATGGGCGCCTGGAGCGACAAGTACGGCAGGAAGGTACCACTGTATGTGGCCACCCTCGGCCACTTCTGTTGGGCGGGCGGGTACCTGCTTAATTCGTGGGTGGCAGAGTGGCCAGTAGAGTTTCTACTGGTAGCTGCTGTCTTTGATTCACTAGGGGGAGGAACAGTGTCCTTCCTCACCGCTGCCAACGCATACCTCAGCGACGTGACCTCAGAAGAGTCTCGCACTATGAGGGTGGGTCTTGCCAATAGTATCTGGTATCTGGGAGGACCCATCGGAACACTAGTCGGTTATTATATTAAGAAGCATGGAGGATATCAAATGCTGTTCGGGACCTCCTTGTTGATGCATTGCGGGTCTCTCACCTATCTCTTCTTCCTGCCTGAGAGCCACGGGCCCTTCGCTAAGAAGAAGACTTCGGAGAAGAACGAGGAGCAGAATAGCGAGAAACCTGCGCAGATTTCCCTGAAGCGACCAAGTGAAGTAGCCGGGTCAGCCAACAAGATATCCCTATGGAAAATGATCACCGATTTCTTCAACTACGAGAGAATCGTGGACTCGTTCCGATGCACCTTCAAGGCTAGAGGAGGACTGGTGCGAGTCTTCGTCCTGTTGCTTATCCTTTGCAATCTGCTACGTCGGCTGGGTCGCGGTAAGTGCAAACACTTTAACTTTTTATGTTCTGTGTTGAGTAATCCTGTTGTTCAAGAGTTGACTCATGGAAATGTGGCGGGTGAGTGAGGAAGTTTCCAGGCAGCCAAGGCGGAGACAGAGTGGGGGCACCCACGACCAGTCCTACTCACACACACACAAAAACTATCCCAGCCGTCAAACATTTAGTCAGCAACAACAGGGCGTGTGAGAAGCTTGTTCTTCTTACTTTTTTTATAGAGTGCCGTTGCTGAGGGGTCATACAACACCTGAGGAATGAGAGATAATCGTATTTAATACAAAGATAGGGAGGGTAGCTCCATTCCATGGTTCAGGATCCCATTACCAATGACAAGGTGTTCCCCCCGAGTTCCTTATAAACTTGTGTGAAGAACAATAGTTCTCTGGGCGCACCCACAGGTTGTTCTTGATCTGATCAAGTGGAGGTGGTGTCCACCCTTCCCATCACCCCAACCTTTAAACCATCCACCACCCCTCCCTCCGCCCCAACCATCAAACCACCCACCACCCTTCCCTCCACACCTCCCTCCACAAAACCTCCACCCTCCCACCACCAGTCCCTTAACAAACCCCAACCCGCCCTCTCCCATCCTCCCTTAAAAACACATACCACCCCCACTCCACCCCCCTCCACCCACCTTCCACCCCACCCCCACCCCACCAACCACAGAAATGAAAAATTAAGTGAGAGGTATTTTAGGTTAGTGAATAGATGTCGTGTGATAGAATTTTGGTAGTGGAAACCCATCTGCACTCTAGATTTCTTTCTCGTCAGGGAAAACATGTCTCTGGTATGTCTTATTCAGCTTCTTCAAGACGTGATTGGTTACTTTAAAGGGTCGGGGTTTGGCTAGCGTAAATTGTCCCTGAAGACGCTTCGGGTACTCGGAAAGATTGTGTCAGTAGAGCATATAAATTGTCATACTCCATATTTAGTCAAACTGGACTCAACTGCATGTGTAGGTAACTTTTCTGAATAATAGTTACAGTGTGAACAAAAACTAGGATGACTATTCGTAACAGTACCGTAACTGCAGCAAATTTAAAACGATTCCAAAAAAGGGAACAGAGATCTGTCTAAAGTTACTCTTCATACTGTCGATTAGTTGTGAACAGTTTACAATTTTACCATGTTATGTTGCATCACACAGGATGGAGTTCTTTGCTTTGGTAGTGAAATCAGTCATCACACAAGATGGGTTTCAAACGTTAGGTAATAAGATCAGTGACACAGGATAGGTTTCATACGTTAGGTAATGAAATCAGTTATCACACAAGATGGGTTTTATTTATGGGGCAATGAAACCAGTCATCACACAGGATGGGTTTTATTCATGGGGTAATGAAACCAGTCATCACACAGGATGGGTTTTATTCATGGGGTAATGAAACCAGTCATCACACAGGATGGGTTTTATTCATGGGGTAATGAAACCAGTCATCACACAGGATGGGTTTTATTCTTTGGGGTAATGAAACCGTCATCACACAGGATGGTTTTATTCATGGGGTAATGAAACCAGTCATCACACAGGATGGGTTTTATTCATGGGGTAATGAAACCAGTCATCACACAGGATGGGTTTTATTCATGGGGTAATGAAACCAGTCATCACACAGGATGGGTTTTATTCATGGGGTAATGAAACTAGTCATCACACAGGATGGGATTCATGCATGAAACTATATTTCTGCCTTCCTTTTTTTTTTTTTTTGCACCATTGTTATTACACATAAAATTATTACTGATATGCATCTCAGTTAACTTCTCAGAGTGTAACGGACGTCTTCAGGATGTGAAAAGCCTTGATTATGTCTCCTCATAATCTCGTCTTCCTTAGAGACAATTATTTTTATTTCTTTGAGAATTGTTTTCTAGAAATTTGATTCTGAATAAATGATGATATTAATTTTTATGCTATGCCCTGTAGCCTCTCAAAGTTGTTTTCATTGTCTATGCAAAAATTATGACCAGAAACTCAAAATATTCAAGAACTGATCTAATTTTTACAGGAGAATCCTGCGTTTTTTTTTTTCTAACTTTTTTAAAACTATGTATCGAAGCACTCAATAATAATCAATATTATTAAAATAATTGTAATACAACAACAACAGCAACAACAACAACAACAACAACAACAACAACAACAACAACAACAATAATAATAATAATAATAATAATAATAATAATAATAATAATAATAATAATAATAATAACACTACTGATTAATATAATTGTATGAGTAATTGTATTGTATAATAAAATCAGTAAGGATTACACACCTGATGAGCACCTCTCAAGGTTATCAACTTTGTGGTGAGATCCACCTTCAAGGTATCTGCTGTGTCACTTCATTCACTTTATTCCTTTGATTTAACCAAGTGAGAGGTTGTGTCGAAAGTGTTGTCGAACGAGAATGTCTGCAAGTTTTGCATAATTTCTTGAAGGGAATGAAATTGGGTCATAATGTAACTGCGAGAGAAATGTGTGAATGGTATTCAATAAGAGACTTAATTTTTCTGATGGAGATATGAAGCGTTGTGAGGGGATTTTTAAAATCCAGTGACGGGCACAGTGAGCTGTCCGCTTTATTCTCTTCCAATTAAGCACATTTTAATGTCTTACTGACCTCTTGGTTTATTTTATGCATCAACTCAGCAATTAGGTCAGTGTGAGTACCCCGAGTGCACAATGCATGGTTCTAGAGTCCTTGATTAAGTCACAACTCAGTGTGCTCAGGTCCCAAGTGCTTACATTCTCACGGTCATTTTATGAAGACTAAAGAGACATGATGCAGAGTAAGTTTTAATTGAGACAACTTATCGCTGTGTGTAGACCTTTTTCACCTTCATGACTCGATAAAGCTCTACACAGAGCGAAGCTACGCCCCAACAAAAGCTTAATCTGCAAATTGAGTATTTTTGTCTTCATAGTAGTCACCTGTACGCCATGTCACGCCTCCCGCAGCCATTTAAAATCAGAACATTGACTGTTGAAGAAACGTACTTTAAGCCGTTTGAAAGAATTTGAATGTTTTAATACAGAAGACAGTGCATCAACACAATGCTTATCACAATATTTACTTAGCATGCTCCTGCCTCGAGATTCCACAACTGTTAGTCCAACCTCAAGGTGTGTATTGACTCCAGATTATACGAAATGTACCTCTTTAATAAGTTCCTCTGATTTTACATATTAATTCAGTAACGTTAACATTGAAGAGTGGGATATATGCCTTCGACTGACTCGAGTCTGAGGCTTTGATAATGTCCCTGGAGGTACTGACGCAGGACAATACTCATTTCTAACCTTCAGGGTCTGGGAAAGGAATTTTTCTCTGCTTAAGCAGCCTTACGAGTTACAATTAGTTATTCACAAACTCCCATCTTCGAGATGATTGCTGGGTCATTCGTCTTGTATGTGACTTCCGTAATAACTCTGACTTTAAAATTCAGAGATAAGGAATGATATATTATTAGTAAATACTGCCAAGGTGAGGCTTTAAATTAGCTAAGTTAGGATAACATCTGTTGGCTTGGCTTGTCTAAAAAACACGGGTTGAAAACATTAACATATATCGACGAACACACCTACCTACTAACCTACCGACTTACCTACTCACTGACCTATCTATCTACCTGCCTACCTACTTACCTACCTTCCTACCTACTTGCCTACCTACATACATACCTACCTACATACCTTCCTGCTTACCTTCCTACATACCTACTTACCTACCTATTTACCTACCTACCTGTTATTATTAGTAGTATGTTTATTATTATTATTATTATAGTTACTATTATTATTATTATTATTATTATTATTATTATTATTATTATTATTATTATTATTATTATTATTATTATTATTATTATTATTACTATTATTATTATATTATTATTTTATATTGCTGATGGTGTAATGTCCTTCAGAAGGACACCAGTGACAGTACTGATAGTTGTCCTTCCCTCTTCTCCGTTTCTCTCTCTCTCTCTCTCTCTCTCTCTCTCTCTCTCTCTCTCTCTCTCTCTCTCTCTCTCTCTCTCCTCTGGCGTACTCACGTATATTCTCATGCGCTTCCTTATTCTGTATGTACTCCAATATATTCTCGTGAAACTTCCAAATGCTTCCATTTATTTTCACACACTCTCTTGTACTCTCACACACTCTCTTGTACTCTCACACACTCTCTTGTACTCTCACACACTCTCTTGTACTCTCACACACTCCCTTGTACTCTCACACATCTACTCTCTTGTACTCTCACACACTCTCTTGTACTCTCACACACTCTCTTGTACTCTCACACACTCTCTTGTACTCTCACACACTCTCTTGTACTCTCACACACTCCCTTGTACTCTCACACACTCTCTTGTACTCTCACACACTCCCTTGTACTCTCACACACTCTCTTGTACTCTCACACACTCTCTTGTACTCTCACACACTCTCTTGTACTCTCACACACTCTCTTGTACTCTCACACACTCCCTTGTACTCTCACACACTCCCTTGTACTCCTCACACACTCCCTTGTACTCTCACACACTCTCTTGTACTCTCACACACTCTCTTGTACTCTCACACACTCTCTTGTTCTCTCACACACTCTCTTGTACTCTCACACACTCCCTTGTACTCTCACACACTCCCTTGTACTCTCACACACTCCCTTGTACTCTCACACACTCCCTTGTACTCTCACACACTCCCTTGTACTCTAACACACTCTCTTGTACTCTCACACACTCCCTTGTACTCTCACACACTCCCTTATACTCTCACACACTCCCTTGTACTCTCACACACTCCCTTATACTCTCACACACTCCCTTGTACTCTCACACACTCCCTTGTACTCTCACACACTCTCTTGTACTCTCACACACTCCCTTGTACTCTCACACACTCCTTTATACTCTCACACACTCCCTTGTACTCTCACACACTCCCTTATACTCTCACACACTCAATTGTACTCTCACACACTCCCTTGTACTCTCACACACTCCCTTGTACTCTCACACACTCCCTTGTACTCTCACACACTCCCT